GTCCCCTGGCACAGCCCTTACTCAGAGATTCCTGGGGCTGCGCCGATCATCCCTGTGCTTGGGTAACCTATGTGAGGCCAGAATGGGGCTACATGCAGGGTTCAATATGTAATCCTACAAGCCTCCAAACACGCGCCGACATAACCATATTGGTTATTAAGCCAAATCCCTCTTTAATGCCAGTTTCCAATTCGTCTTCCATTTTCTTTTGCATTTGCTTCCGTCCCTAAGGACCCCCAAGGACAAATGCAAAATCCTAGATTCTACCATGATTTGTATATGTTCCCTACATGACTGTCATCAAGCACAAGTAACCCCAACAAAGCCCGGAGCGATGCATGTGTTGCAGCATTAGGCTTCTAAACCAAGTTCCAAACCTTACAGCCTTAACCCCCCAAAATTCCAAACCTGAAACCCTCAAACCCTAAACCTCACGCCCAAGAATCTCAAACCGATCCCTTACCCAAAATCCTAGTCAGGTAGATTTGGGAAGCGCGTGTGCCGATGCTTGTTATCCTCTCAATCGCTACAGGAGGACCTTGTCCGCGTTGGCAGCTTCACCCTTTCAGGCCATCGCCACGGCACTCCGCAGCCACAGCCGGGTGCAGCAAGTCCACTTAGAGGCCTCTGCCTCATTCTTTTCGGAGCAAAGGGGATCAGAGGGGTTTGCTGTTGGGATTTGGGGCGGGGGGGTTCAGGCTGGTTTCAGGGGTGAGGGGCAGACCTTCACCTCTTAGAATTTGTAAGCAGACTTGCACAACAACATGTTAGTCGAGGTTGATGCCTACTCCTGTGGCCTCAGAGTATAGCAATTACATCCTCTAGTAACCGCTGTTATGATTGCAAGTCAGAACACGTTTGTCATCGTTCGATTCCATATTGTTCTGTTTGTAAGCGCCTTGCTTTGATGTGATGGTCTGACCAGCAAGAACCCTCTTCGCCACGGAAGGCCAAGAGCATGGATGCAGAGTGCGCCCAGGCTGCCCCGCCTGAGTTACTTAAAAAATGAAGCCTATATGCGTGTCATCGAAATGTTGGTAAGATGGGGGGCAAGCAAAAGGACACATTCTGATGTATCATCGGGAGGGAGAGCATTTGAAAGGGACGCCTATCAAAAAACAATTAAAACATAATCAAGAGAAAATTAAGATATAATCAAACAAATAAAGCATACTCAAAAACATAAAGAGCGAAATACCTGCAAAACGCAGCACTTCGGCACCACCAACCCCTGGAACCGCCCGATGCCTGCTGAAGGTTCTACATAAAAGAAACACTACGGAAACACAGAGGCGCAGACAGAGAGCAAGAAAGAAGGGAAGCAAGAGAACAAGGAAGACAAAAAGAAAGAAAGAGGAACATCAAGAAAGACATAAATGAGGGGAGATATGAAAAGTATACACAGACAGCAGAGAAAGAAAGCAAGCAAGAGAGACAGAGAGAAACAGCCAGGATGAAATGTGCACTAAGAAGACGCAGAAACAAGAGGATAAAACAAAGAGAAAGAACGCAGTACAGAATTAATTTAAAAAAACAGAAAAATCTCCAAGAGGAAAGAGAAAGCACGCCATGAAAGAAAGAAATTATGCAAACATAAAAAACTAAAAAAGATAATGGAAAGACCTCGTAGCGGAGGCGCAGTGCTATGGTAGAAATACACGAGTAGCAATAGTAGTAGTGAAGCCAAATATATTGTCGTAGTAATAACGGTAGTAATAGAACTAATAGTAGCACGAACAATAATAGGAGCAACTCTCGTACAGTATTTTTGTGTGTGTGCGCGCGGCCAACGTTTTCTGACAGCTTGGGTTTTCCATTTGCAACGATACAACCTCCAGGATGTGCAGCCTTCGGTTCTCAACGTAAACGCAGCAGGTTCCTGAGCAACATGAGCAGTGTTTTTCTAATGCATTACTTGCGCCTCTTGACGGACGGGGTCCATCCATGCTTGCAATAAAGAAAAGGGCATGTCATCACCAAGTTGTGCGGATCATTTTGCTTGCACATGGGGCTGCACCACACCCCCCTCCCCCCCAACCCTCCTTTTCAAGTCCAGTTATGCTTGCAATTAAAAAGAAGCATCGTCGTCATCATGTTTGCAGTACAGGAAGGTTGCGCGGATCATTTTGTTTGCACATGGGGTGGGCTGCGCCCCCCCCATCCCCCCAGCATTTTAAATCCATCCATGCTTGCAAAAAAGGGAAGGGCATCATGCCAGCACCATGTTTTCAGTAAGGGAAAGTTGTAGGGATCATCTTGTTTGCAAATGGCAAGCCACCCTGTGCTTGTCCACACTTTTTCAAACTCCAAGAGAATCCGAGGATCCTGATACAACAGCGACCATTATTGCGAGGATCGTGACCGCGACCCCAGAATCCTTGTGCCTGTGTTGACACTTTTCAAATGCCGAAAGGCTCCAAGGGTCTAAAAGCGACGACAGTTACGAGGATCGGGACCCCGACCCCCACGATCCCTGTGACTGTTGGCAATCTTTGCAAACTCCGAAAGGCTCTGAGGGTCTAAAAGCGACGACAGTTACAGGGATGGCGACTCCGACCCCGACGATCCCTGTGACTGTCCACATTTGGCAGGTGGAATATGTTTTTTGAATATGATTGATTTTATGATCTCCAAGTTTCTATGTTTTGATTATGATTTAGTTTTTTTTTGATAGGTCACCCCATGTGAAAGATGTAGCATTTATGAGTGATCAGTGTGTGTGTTTTCTCTTGCTCGCACTGCGAAGCTGCCCCAGCCATGTCTTGAAAGCTTCTGAATATCTGCAAGCTTCATGAAGCCAAGTGCCTGCCAGCTCATTGCCACTCTGCTGGACAAGTCGTCGCCCGTTCAGGTGCCCAGGGAATGCACAGCTTCTGAGCTTGCGAAGTCTCAAACGTGGGGTGGTCGCAGGGTGGTTTCATTCTGCGGACACTCTCACTTACATGTGGCCGCCACTCTCATCTCTCTGCTGCAGCTCTCTCGCACCTTAGCTCATGGCAACATCTGGCCAGGCAGTGACGCTTGACATCGTCCAGCCGGGCGGAATGGGGGAAAGCGAGGCTGAGGCTTGCCATGGCTTGCCGCTTTCTACTAGCAGGAGGTGGATTTCGTAGAAGTGTACTAAGCATGAGACCTCTTGAAGAGGTTTCATGGTTATCTTTGGACAGCACGTATGCTAGAACTGACTAGAACACAGCTGGTGCTGCAGCAGCAGAAGCAGGAGCAGCAGCCGCATCTTCACGAATCGCTGCCGTCGTCATCATCATCATCATCATCATCACTAGGCGCTTGCCACCTCTATTTTGCCATGCATGACCGCCCTCCCTGCTCACCATATTCATCTTCATTTCAAGTATCATCCTTGCCTTCATTCCCTGCCGTCATTTTTTGAAACGACCGCCACGTTGAAGCAGGAGCTGGCAGATGCCCTCCTGGAATCCAACAGCGGCCTTCGACGGCTTTTCTTCTTCCACGACCAGATCGGCGAGGAGCGGGCCGAGGCACCTGCCAGGCTTTGTGGAAGTGATACAGGGATAACGCAAGGCTCGCAGCACAACACACGGCCCTGTTCCAGATTTTCGGGGATCAGGGATTTTGCAGGTTCAGGGTTCTGGGTCTTCGGTGTCTAAGGCTTGAGGTGAAGCGCTCAAAATGCATCCCTTGATAGCCAGAATTAGACTCCCTCAAGTTCTGGTTGTAAGGAAATGTAGGGCATCAAAAAAGGCATGTTTTGGGTCGGCATATGCCCTTTTCCTTGAAACCCGGTTCCCTTCCCTTGAACCCTCTTGGGATTGCTGAGACACCCAGGACCCAAGACTTTAAACTCATCGCCATCTTCATCCTCAGATAATCCCAGGAGAGTCTCCATCTCAAAAGCCCATCCAACATTTTTGAGAAAGCACAAAAGTGACGAGGCCATTGCCAGTGCTATGGATGGATTCTGGAACGAGGTGCAGGCGGGTGAACATGCTGCAAGCAAACTTCTCATTACAGCCAAAACTGGAATTCCTGAGGTGCGTAGATTGAGTCATGGCCAAGACGATGGCAGTATGGCAGCTGATTTGGTTCTTACCAAACTCAAGATCCCTGTATTCTATTGGCTTCTCCCAGGCCTCCTGGGGAAATGGAAGCTCTTGGAAGAGACAAGTTTCGGGACCTTCACCCAGACTCCGCGTAATCCCTAATAGGACCAACATGTTGAGACACCTTCCCTTTCCAGCACGGATGCAGAGGCCATGGAAAAAGGATTCGACATGGACTGTCCAAAGTGCCTTGCCTGAAATTTTCCTTTGACGATGGGTCCCCGTCTCAGGGCCCCCAGCATTGAGAGTGTGTGAGATGTTCAGTCAGCAGAATGCAGCTGAATTTCAAGCAGCTTCTGCAGCCGAAGGTGAACCAGCAGGTTGAGTCTTCCATAGGAAAATGCATGTGTCATGTACCGAGTTCTCGAAACAGCCATGCTGTGGACACAGGAGACTCCTATGCAATTCCACCGAGATCGGCGAAGAGGGGGTTGAGGCCGGAGATATACTGCCTTGATTTTCGTGCAGATCTTTTGCCAACCATTTCAGGCATTGCGTATATTAGTTTCCTTTATGTAACTCCCAAACCATGCACTCTTGACCCTACATTCATGCACTGGTAGTGCAGGACGTGGTTTCAGCTCTTGAAGACAGAGGCTTTGCAGTGCAGGTGCCTGCCTACGAGATTCACCCCTTTCTTTGGGTGATTGTAGGGGGGGATAGTCAGATAGTCTTTCTTCCGGTGAAAAAGGCTGTGGGTTATTAGGGCATACATGTGCAGAACATATACCGAATACAAACAATTTCTGCATTTTGGTCTGTACAAATGTAACAAGGACACAGTTTTTGTGTTTAATTATTCGGGTTCATTTTTCAGAAATATCCATGGACCCACGAGGAGCAGAGGCAAAGAGGACACACCAAAACTCAAAATTCGAATTAGAAGGTGTTGATGCATGAGCCATGAAATAGGTGTCTTTGTTCTGAAGGTCCCTTTCCTCCACAAATCTTGTACAAGCCTCGTGACAGAAGGGCTTAAGTTGTCAGGCTTGGAAGCTGGTAAAAGATGGTCCAAGATCCTTACATAAGGCATCCTCAAAGTAGCTTTTCGGGTCTAAAAACCACCTGAGTAGCCCTTTGCGAAGGAGGAAGACCTGGCTGGAGTTGGTTTCGGGGTGTCCGTGCTCCAGGCTGGAGGGCTTCTTGTATCAGATAAGGGGCTGTCAAACTTGTGATCTCTGTTTGGATCCCTATGATATCAAGGCCTCCAATATCTGGGGTATCCCGCAAGAGACCATAATTTGGATGCAGCCGCATATCAGGTCTGTCCTATGTCGGGCATGTCTGAAGGCCCAGACCCTGAAGAAGGATAACCCATCATCTGCCCGGATAGCATCAGGTAGTAGACAGGGTTTCGCCCATTGGTGCTCTCACTTGGTGTCCAGCATCCCGGTGTCTGAAGCTGGGCCTAAGGGATCGCGAATTTTCCACAACGAATTGCAGGCACCTCGCCCCCATAGAGTCTGCAAGGTTCTAAGACCCTAGCTAGCAAGACCGCTTCGAAGAAAACTAGGAACCCCGCCTGCTTTCCTCGTTAAGCAAGTGTCCAAGTAAACACCCCCCAGACCAAAGCGCCGATTCGTGCCTTCCAGGAAAGCAGCGCGGGTAGGCATTGCCACAGTCGTAATCGATTGTTGCTAGTAAGGATTTGAATACTGGACAATGAGTATCGATGTTGAAATTGCAAGAACACTGACCTCCAAGCACTTGGTGAGGCGCTAGCTGGGCACGGGCCTCAAGATGATCCGGGTTTCGCAGAGTTGTACAGAGCATGCACTACAGAGCGTACTTGGAAGTTATGGAGTACAAATTGGAATGTTGCAAGGATTTGGGAACGTAGCTTGTTCTGCAGATGATTGTGGATCCCTTTCTTAGCGTAGTTGCTTTGTTTGCGGAGCGGAGAGAGTGAGAGAAGAAGAACCTTGATTTTGCGCAGTAATTAGCAAAGTGGGTCCCTTACAATCTGGGCTAGGGGTTGCCCTTACGTCAATGTTCTGTTCTTCTGGTTGACCTTTACAGAAGCACGACTCGTAGATCTGCTATTCCAGCTAGAAGTCTTGATCTGGCAGCATGTTGTGAAGCAAACTTTACCAGGAGGTGTCCTGAGAGATCCCCATGCAAGGTGCATGTGCCGCATTGTCTTGTCATGATAGCTCTCCTGCTTGCCTGCTTTCTCGTGCGGGGCTGCTCATTTTGACGAAGTCCTTCCTAAGATGAAGTCTTTGTTGAAATATGCGAGATTTCCACAGAATTCGCAAGCTACCTCCAGGAAAGCATCTTTTGGATGCCTGTGGCTGAAGGATGCATCAAAGGGCCCCATCTTTGCAACTGTCAGGCTAGTGATAGTTCAATGATGAATGAAGGGAATCCTAGCATTTTTTAGCTTCACCTGGCTGTTCTCATGGTGTTTGCACATCCACAAGAGGTCACACATCCCTCAGGAGGGCCAAAGACTCGTACAAAAAAGGCATCCTCCAGCATCCGCCAGGGGACAAATTGCTCACTACCCTCAACCTTGCACAACCCCCTCGCCTGTCAGCCAGGAACCTGTTTTCATGCTACAACATCTCGAAGTGAGAGGGGCTGTACCTCAGACACTTTCTCGTCCAGGCATATATGGAGTGGCAACTTTGTGTAGGTGTAAGGTCGAGGGCTTGGACAAAAACGCAAGTCGCCTTGTCTTTAAATCTTGAGGTTTCTCACATGCACCGTCTACTTCCGAGCTTAGTTCTTAAAAAGTAGGGTGAATGCTGCCTAAGCCTGCAACTGCAAGGAAAAAGGCCTCTGCCTGCGAAAGGAAGGAGTTCATTTTTCCATCAATTTCAGGAGCGACCTAGTGACTCTAGAAGCAGGGCTGTGAGCATTCGAAGCTTTCTTGCTCTTTGAGGTCCCAACAAGAATTTGCAAAGTTGATTTGGGGTCGAAGTTCATGGTGTTTCAGGTTATGCTCGAATACCTTTTGGGCTTGTGTTGGTCTGCTGCGTGCAGCATCTTCAGAGCGTACCCCTTCTGGGCCCATGTGCACATGGCAAGTTGTACGCACCTTAGAACTGAATCAGCCCATGCATGCGAGCTCTGCAAGCTGTGCATCCGCTGCAAGATTTCGGCTGGCCGAGAATTCATTGACTCTTCCCTGTCTCCTCTGTTTCTGCGCGTGTTGCGTCTCAGTTACACGTCAAGATCACAGCATGCTAAATAAATGCGTTTTGTAAATCAACGACAACACCTTCCTCTCTATACATACCTCTTCCTCTGACGCAATGTTGCATGCTAAGCCATGTCCGCATCCCAGCTGATTAAGTGCTTGGGCAGGGCAGGTCTTGTGACATGTGTTGTATTGCGTTTCACCCCTCATGAACATGAAAGTCGCAAGACGAGAGCGTTTCTCGCTGCAGAGTCAGGCCTGGCCGAATCTGGTGCCCCGCAAGCCAGTCTGCAGGCACTGGCGAGCTGTAGATGTTCCGGGGCTGGCCATGTCTCTGAACAGAAAATCCGCATGTTGAGACTTCTCGAGAAGTCAGGCCTCCAGCATGTCATGATGCATCTATAGTCTCAAGATCAATTGTATGGTAGGATGGTATGTTCAAGGCAAACCGCTTTTTTGAAGTAGGCCCAGGTAAGTCCTCCCAGCTGAAATTTGCATCAAAAGTGTAGACCCAGAAAATGATCTGAGGTAGGTTTAATCAGGGTTTAGACTCATTACGATTACTGGGGCTTGGGGTCTTATTGGTTTTAAAGCTTGGAAAGTATAAAGTTGAGGAAATTAGGGTTCTAAGTGATTGCAAGTTCAGGTTTAGGGCTAATCCGGAGTCGTTGTTAGCGAATCCCTATACTTCCGATTTGCGTATGCTCGTCGTACAAGGGGAGCTAATTTTAGAAATTTTCCGGAACTAGCGTAGCAAAAGTCCAAAGTTATTTCTTGCACCTGAGGGCTAACGTGAGCTTTGGGTTTAAGGGTCTCTAGACTCTAGACGCTAATCCTAAATCCCAAGCCCTACTCCGAAAAAAACCTGAGCCGAAAAGCTCTACACATGTGGTGGTAATTGCCTCAAGTAAACCCTGAACCCTAGACTGTTTTTGAGGCATTGAGGCTCAACAGGGCTGCATCTCACATCAGGGGGGGGTGATTGCCTCAGCTTGGTAGGCACTTGAAGCCAGCTGCAGCCCGGAGACGCCTTTGCTGCGTGGGCCTTTACCAACCAGATGACGTGGAACCTAAGCTTTAGGCTAAGGGGCTGAAGAGCAGGTTTGAGGTATTGCCATGTTTCACGACCATCTTCCCGATGCACCCCCACGCCCAGGAGCCCTGATGCAAAGAAAACATTTAGGAGCGTTGAAACTTCTCAAGTAGAGTGGGGTTATCTTCCCGTACAGGTAGATGGGATCAGATAGAACATTAGGCACATGGTGCAAAAGAAATGGTTCTTCCATACTTTGCAGCCCATTTGCCTACGAGTGGGGTTCATACCAAACAATCCCAGAAGGGATCATGAAGGGACATTGTGCTTTGTGCTTTGCAACTTTGAGGTGTTTGGGCTCTCGAGGGGAGCTGGTTTGCAGTTGAAGTGGCAGCGGCATCAACAGCAGCAACATATGTGCCGGTATGGACTACCTCTTATAGATACGGTCACAGTCATGGTTTTGACCCAAAGACCCCAAAGGCTCTTCTTTCTACCAAGAAAGACCCCACTTGGTGTCCTTGACAGGGAGCCCTTGAAGGTTGTCTGTCCTGAGGCAGCTTTCTGAGTTGGTCGCCTTGCACACTGGTCAGGCACGCTCTTTGCGTTGCATTGGGTGCAGAGACCCTCATGAATTTATCTGGGTCTTGCTGGGGTGTTTCTTTCAGAGCCTTGATTTAGCATGCAAGGTTTATGGTATTCAAGGGAGACCCACCAGAGTCGTCAGGGAGGGCTGAAAGGGGATCATCACCTAATCTGAATTCTGCACCCTCCTTAGAATTTGTATGTGCCCACCAAAACATTTGCAGAGCTTTCGCACGCCCTCTCAAATGTCAACACTCTTTTCCGCGTGGTACCAGCACAGAAGACAAAGGATACTTAGGTTCCGGGGTGGTTAAAGATTTATTGGCATGGCAAATACTGCAGTTGTGGGCCTTTCCCGTGTGGATGCGGAGAGGATACCACGAGCGGAGGCGACCTTCAAGTTAAGGCGGATGCGGCTTTTGCATAGGTTCACAGGATTAGGACATGCAGTGTTCAAGGCCAAGAATGTTTAGGGCCGAGATGTTTGGGAGGGTCTCTGGTTCAAGCTTTTCCGGCAGATGCATAGGTTTTGGGATTTTAGTAGGGGGACGGATTGGGATTTAGGGTTTAGGGTGTTGGGTTGGGGCTTGGGCAATTGCAGTGTCTGAATCGAGAACCAGAAAGATGACTACTGCTCACAGCCAGTGTAGCAATTTCATTCTTACACTTGTAG